AAAAAGGAAGTTCTAATTATTCTAACTTTTATTTTTCTGGGTGGCCATAGACAACCTCTGTCGGTAATTTAGCGCATAATGTGTGCGTAAGCATAAGGACAAATGCTTGTTTAAAAACTTGAACATTGCTCAAAATGCGTCTGAATAGAAGTTGGTCATTGTTAAAAATAGACGTTTACCGACACCATCCTAACGATATACATTGTATAACCAGAACGAAATACTTCCTCCCCCCCCTCCAAAGAACACACCTATTATAAATGATGGTCAGTTGTGATGAGAAAACTTCGAGAAAGCCTTGGAATGAAATTGAATTGAGATGAAAAAAATATGTTAGAAGTTAAGAATATTTCTTGAGGGACGTCAACGCGCACAAAATTCCAAGTTATTGAATCAAATAAAATAGTTGATCAAAAATTAAAATAAATACCAACAAATTCCTTATTTAAAAAGTGTTTAATATAAGCATTCTAAAAGCTTTTACTTTCAACTGTTTTTCTAAGTTTTTTTTTAAAAAATTAATCTCTTAACTTATTTAATTAAAAGTACAACGCATCTAATTAAAAATATTTTATAAAAATAAACAAGGAATGCAAAATTAACACGTGAAAAAATTGAACAGTTGTTTAAAAAAAAGAATCGCAAAAAAAAGTCATTTAAAAAAAAAGCATTCAATAATTTAAATTCTTTTCTCAATAAATACTTTAAAGAATAAACTTACGTAATTAACTTTTTTTAGAACAATGAATACTTTATTACATCATTAACTTGTAATCATATCGTATCATAATTTTTTTTAAATTCTGAATATATATTCTGTTAAATAAATTTACTTTTGAAAGGAATTATTTTTTAGAAATTTTTAAAAGCGAAAATCTATATTTTCACACAGGAATTTAAAAAAAAAAAATTTAAATTAATTTTAAACAATCCGATTACAATTGGTATCTTTGATTTCAGAAACTAAACAGATATTGTTTGAAATAAATAAATAAATTATTTTCGTGGAAATTTGATAATCATTTTCAAAATTACTTGAGCAACAGAATTATAAAACTATTGTTTAAAAAAAGAAGAAAAAAAGACAAATGCGTGCATTTTGAATTATATTTTAAAATGAATATATTTAGTTTCTTTTCGTATTCAAAATATTCTTACATGTTAATTTTTTTTAATTTAACTAATAATGGTAAAAGTTTTATTAATTTAACTTGTAGTAAAATTGTGTGAAATAAACGTGATATAAAAGTTAATTAGTGAAATAAATATTCTATTAATTTAACTTTTAATAACGTGTTTTCATTAAAATTATTTTTTAATGAAATAAAGATTTGAAGAGAAAAAAATTATTATTAAAAACTCGAGTGAGAATTTAAAAAAAATGTAAAAAAAATGTGTTTGCGTTTAATTGCGTTTTTCACGAAATTAAATTTTATAGTCCGTGTGTGCTACAGCCGAGCCAAATCTGAACGCGTTCCACTTCGTAGCCTCTTAATTTTGAACCTAATTCAGAAGACAAGAGAATTCCTGGATTAAGTATCGAATACTTTTATTGCAGCGAAAGCAGAATTTACAAAAAAAAAAAAAAAAAAAAAAAAAAAAAAAAAAAAAAAAAAAAAAAACAGTTTAAGACACAACGTTGTTGAAAGACGACAATGAGAAAACAGATGCTTTCTATTTACTGTGATCTGAGGTTATTTTAAAAAAGTGGGTCATTTCAGAGAATTATAATAACCAAATGCAAGTAATTCTTATTCTTGCAATAATTCATATAAATTACATTCATAGATAGAAGCATGTTAATTGTTAATTTAAAAAAGCGAAACATTTTGATTCTTAAATTAAAAAAATGATTTTAGTTCTTAATTTAATTTAATAAATTCTTAAATTTAAATGTTCATTTGTATGAATGTAATTTTTTAAGAGAAATATCCAATTTGATACAAACCAGAAACTTAGAATTATCAAAGTTCAAGATTTTTTTTCCTATAGAAAAATTCAATGTATGTGTTACCTTGATTGACCGAAATCAAGAGAATGTAGACATTCATCAGTGAATGTCAACAATCATTTGTGAATGTCCAAAATATTTGAAACTTAGGTGAACAAAGAAAATTTTTATATTAGGGAATTTTTATTAAATAATTACAATTATTTCTCCCCTATAAAACTAAAATTAATTAATAACATTGAATTAAATTTAACTAATGAGTTAAATTTAACTAATGAGTTAAATTTAATTAGGAATAGTGTGAACTAATAGTACGAATTGAATAATGACAAAATTAAGAAAGAATTTAGGTGCATACATTTCAATTAATTACCATGGTGTTTAAAATCGTTTTAAATCAACTTTTTTAGTCTCAGAATCAAACATTTAGGCAGTCATCTAAAACAAAGTATGGTAAATACCACTTGCAAACATTTCTATCTTGTAAGGCTTTTTTTCCAAGCAACTTCTAAAAGAATTCTATTAAAATTGTTGGTTACTGTTTACTATTAGTTCAAGTTACAATTCGGTTGACTACTATTTACTATTAGTTACTATTCACTATTAGTTGTAGGTTACTATTAGTATCGTATTTACAATTTGGTTAAGAAATAAATTTTTCAGTCAAACAATATTCTCAGATGTGTAGACTCAGTCATAATTTGCCATTGTTTTGAAATTATTTACTTATTTTTTAATATCTAAATACTCATAAGTTTAGGTACAATTTGGATATCACTAGGGTAATGTTCTTAAAAAATAATAAAAACCATTTTCTAGAAAATTTCTAAACAACTTAAAAATTTCCTTGTTAACTTATAAAATTTAAAAATGTCCTTGTAATTATATAAAACAGAATTGCTATCTGAAGCATTATACTGTTCTTAATATTTCGTACAAAAAATAGTATTAAAACATGCATAATAAAAGAAATTTTCATTGTTGGCTGGGCATTAATGATCTAGCGACAAACAGAACTATATGGAAAGGAGAAGGTCGATTCTGGAAATGTTCATGGATTTCATAAAGTTATTAATATTTGATTCACTTCTATCACCCCATTTGAAAGTTTTTAAACCCGTTTTCCCAACGACTAGGTAATTTCCATAATTCCAGAAAATATTTTATCTAGTAGTATATCTCCATGGTTACGCAAGAAAGTTACAACACCCTCCTTTTTTTTGCTAAGTTAATCTGTTACTGTACTAATCTAATTTTAGGATTAAAGATTTAACTCAATTAACTTAGCTTAAAACAAACTTTACATTTTAATTCATTTTATAAAATTTTGAGTTAAATATTCCTTTGAAATATTTTTTAGTCACTTTTTTCTTCTCTAAATGCAATTTTTATTTTCAATTAAAACTTTTTCCATGAGTAATATTTTTCCGACATTTTTGTTGCAATTTTTTGCCTTAAAAAAATCTTTTTATTTGTGTTTAGGATTTAGTGTCATATAAAAGGACTGTGTTTTGTGTTTTATATTGTAGTGTCTTACGTAAGTATTGCTTTTACAATGCCTCCTTTTCGTCACCAAAAATAAGCAAAATAAGACCCCCCTTAAAGGCTTACGTAATATTTGAACGGATCTTGGTGTTAGAAATCTCAAACAATCAACAGTAAAAATGAAGCCATAAATATCTAAAACATCAAACAACAAATATTATTAAGCCATGAATTAGTAAAACCTCGAATACTCAATGGTAAATATCAAGTCATAAATATCCTTATTGCTTTTTAAAATAAAGCTGTTCAAGTTGAAATCACTGAAGTTATTCTTACTTTCAAACCTGCATCGATTTAGAATTAAAAGAGTAAAAATGAAAAATAAAATAAAAAATAGAGTGATCTTAAATGGTTATACCAAATAAAAACCCCACATAACCAGGGCATGCAGACCATAATTGTTGGAATGTCAAGTAATCTGATTCAGTGGTGTCAGATCATAATTGTTGGCAGGGCCCGACTTAGCCTGATTGGGGCCCGGGACGAAAGCTTCTTTTGGACCCCCCCCCCTCTCTGCTTCAGTAATAAAGAACCCAACTTTATGGAGATATTTAAATTTTTCGCCTCATTATAAATACATAACAAGAAATTTGACTAGAACCTAAAATAGCTATAAAGTCCTCCTTCCTCCAATGGTCAGACGAAGTATCGTTCAGTCCATTTTATTGATTTTCTGACAATTTCTATGTTTTTTCACGCCGAATGCAGTTTTCTGATTGTTAACTTTGTCATCTAGCTGCGAAAATTTCATATCCTTGCTGACATTAGGGCAGAATTAAGCTAAACTTTCGTAATGATGATAACTCAATTAAGCCAACCAAAAGCACATATTTTTGTAAACATATCGTATTTTGCGATAGGTAAAAATACTGGCTTTTCATTGGCCAAATGTGTCCATAGTAATTGCGAAAATGTATCAAAATTCCGCCCTAGAAAGGTATGGATTTACGAAATGTATATTTTTTGTGTCCATACGATAGATTAATAAAGAAGCTAACATAAAACTGACGTATTTTACACTGTACTGATACTTTGTTTAAAAAAAAGTTCATTAAAGAAGGAAACGTAAAATAAACTTCTTATTGGGGGCCCCTTCCTTGTGGGGGCCCGGGGCAACTACCCTGTATGCCCTTGCCTTAGTCAGGCTCTGATTGTAGGAATGTAAAGTAATCTGATCCAGTGGTATAAATTAAGCATCCCAATAGATGTATCTAAACTGATGTCACTTTAAATTGTACATCAATTGGTAGCTAATAGCAAAAAAGTGTTTTGTTTCATGCGACGTTGTCAATGAAAGGTAGAGTGTCTTATCGATAGAAACAAATTGATGAATTGTTGAAGATTAATTGATCAAGATCAGCCTCTTGTGGTTATCTTTTACCCCCTTTTCAACGAGCAACGAATACCTCTGGGTCATTATTAAGTTTCACTGGACTGTACTCATTAGTCCTAAAATTGTTACAGATATTTCTAATAGATTATTACTTTGTGCGTGTGTACTTACCTGTAAATACGCTAGGAATTTTAGTCATAAAACTCTTGACTGTTTTGACAGGCACGCCATTTTGTTCATCCTGCATTTTTTCAACAATCCTCTCCATCTGGAAGCATAATTTATTATCTTAAATAAATAAATTTACATTCATAAAAGAGATTCAAATATTAGTATGCAAAATTTACATCCATGAAAGAGATTCAAATATTAGTATTCAAAATTTACATCCATGAAAGAGATTCAAATATTAGTATGCAAAATTTACATCCATGAAAGAGATTCAAATATTAGTATGCAAACTTTACATCCATGAAAGAAATTCAAATATTAGTATGCAAAATTTAAGAAAAAGCAAATATTACTTTTGATCTAGTTATCGGATTTTCACACACTAAGTCGCACTTTCTTAACGGTATGAAGATCCAACCTTAAATATGCTTACAATATATATATCGAATATTAATAAATATTAAAAAAATCAAATATTATTATTTGAAATATCAAATATAAATATTAGATTTTTTTTTATAATCCAACATGTACCTAAATCGTGAAATAATCTTGCTAATACTTTTAAACTCTCGGTTTCATAAAAGTAGCACTTTTCAAGTATAGCCGATAATCCTGATAGTGTCATAATACCTTTGTTAGAGTGGCCAGCGACTGTAAGTACTAACTTAAATTTGAAAAATATCCCGTTGTAAAGTATTCATACCCGAGAAAAATAGTACCAGGTATAAGAGAGCGGAAAATTTAATATTGATTTATTGAAAGAAAGTAAAAGGTAGTTTAATATAATTTTCAGTAATCTCGACAAAATTATACCACCCGTCTTTAATTTTTCCTGGTCGTGGCTGTTAGACCAATGCATGTGCATTGAGTGTAAAGAGATTAAATGGTGCTCTGAACACAATTTTCATTGCAATCATTCTCACTAAATGCACGGAACATTGGAATTATTTTTTAATCATGGTGTTGGAAGATGTTTACGGTACACCTTCAAAAGGCTACGAAATAATTAAAATAATTTCTAGAGAAGGGGGGCTGAAACGTCGAAAGAAATAAGGGAGGGGGGGTCAGGCAAAGAAGGAGAAATCGATTATCTATAAATAGCGATAGGATGCCAGCCTTCCTTTTCAAAACTTGTTGCCGTCTCACACTTTTCTTTCCGACCCCGAACGCCGCTCAGACATTAGATGTGTAGTAAAATTGCAAATTTGCAAAAATTGCAAATTAAAAATGTGTAGTAAAATTGCAAACTTAAAATTGGAACAGAAGTCTGTAATTAAAGTGCACATTTAGTCCATTGACCAATTAATACACATAACAACGAAATTACTCTATATGCAGGGTTTGTTGTTTTATTTTATAACCGTCGTTGAACAGCTGACCCAATTTTATGGGTTTACGACTACTAGCCTTGTCATTTTGAACCCTATCCAGAAGACAAGGGAACTCCTGGATCAAGTACGGGGAGAAAATTACCTTCGCGGAGGTCTTTTTGATGGAAGTAACCCGCATTTGCGTTACGTGGGGAGGAAGAACACGAGAACATCCCACTGTTATACTGATCTCAAGGGGACTCTAACCCATGATCCGTCTACAACTGAGGATGTTTTTAAATCAGCACTTTGGTCGGTGCAAAACGAAGCGGAATTCGAAAGATTATGCTTGGAGCTTTTAGGAATGGTGTCTTTTTTACCAGTGCAAAATTTCCATCGATCAAAATAAGCACACATTTCAAAATCTTTTTTTCAGAACACCATTAATAACTTAAAGGCATTTTTATATTAATATTGCAATTCTATAGAATGAATTCAAAATTGCCGAGATCCTCATTTGAATCTGTTCGAATTTGGCTGGGATAAAAAGGACAACACTTCTAAAAGCTTCAAGCCTGATCTTTGAAGTGTTCCGACTGTTTTGTCATGTGAAAGGTATTAAAACATTTGCTGCTGAAAGAAAGAATGTTTACATAGAGTTATTACACAAGTGTTTCCTTATTTTATCCCAACCTTTGACTCCAAAATGCACTTTTTGTAGAAATTCTTTCATTCAATTTTGCGTGCCATTAACTTTGAAATTAAATTCCAAAAAAATTCTAAGAGAGGCCGTAAGAAACATTCTGCATAGAAACATTTTGCATAGTAATTTTTATGAATTTCAAAAATTATGTAAAAATATTCTACTGTGTAGCTTGAATTATTTAGTGTTTACATTAGTTTAAACAGCATATTAAAGTACTACTCGTTTGCAAAAGTCTAAAAAGATTTGCGAAAAAAAAGGTTGACAAAAGATTAGTTGCAAAAAGCTTTTTTCTGCATCGGATAAGCTTTTCTAAGTAAAGCCAGGTCTTCATATGCCGAAGAACTATGTTGTATTTGAATCCAAGGCTAACTAGTACGCGTTTTGCAAAATATTTCATGGACTGGTTGGCAATAAAAATCTAGAGCTTTTAGAATTTTTGGTAATTTTGCAAATATTATCAAAGCAACACTATGAGAGAGATGCAAACAAAGTTTCGTTTCGCGTGAAATTTTCAACCGTTTACATGTAGTGGCATGGAAAATAACTTTAAATCAAATTAACAAAAAAACAAAGAATCATATATTAAAACATATAGTTAGCTAACACTAGAGGAAATTTTTCCCCAAAAGCGTAGGAAGTTGACAATCGTGTAAATAATGGGTTTCTTAAAAGTACAACTTGGAAAAGTAGAGCATGACTGCTATTCTAAATTTATAAAAAAATAATTTCAAGTAGTTGCAAATTTTTTTAATCTCAGATACAAGCTAAAAAATATGGTATTTTCTTTATATACAATAGTACATACTTATATATATATTTTATATACAATTTCCATACATACAATGTATACAATATTAATAAACTACTGCACTTTTCACATTCGGAAAATCTAATGTAAAATTTCATTCAATTAGTTCAAAAGTTATGCAGAGTGAAATTTATTTTAATCTTGAAAAACTGTATTTAATCATCAAAGTTTACATACGATTACTAACGAACAATCGAATTCTTCTAATATAAATCATAAAAAAAAATCAAATTAAATCAAATAATTATATTAAATGAAGCCAGACGTAGCTTATAAATCTCTAATTAATAATTATGTAAATAGTTATGGAACTTTATTAACATTTCATTCCGCGTGGAGCGAGCCTTTTTCAATTAAACCGTCTCTTTTAAATGTTAAGCAAATTATGACCCAACATTTATTCAATCTCTCCCTCCTCACTATTCAAGCCATACATTTTCATTTCTCTAATCAGACAGAGCAACATATCCGGGATGCTGTCATCATTTCGCTGATGAGCATTATGTGCTCAGTTACCGTTCGAAATCACTTTGTGAAATCTGTAGTGGCATTTGATTATTTAATAAAGGAAACTTCAACAGAGGAAACGGAACAGAAACTTTCTGTGCAAGAGCTCTTTTCAGGTTTATGAAAATAAAGAGCTTTTAAATATTGAATAACAAAGACATCAACTGTGACTTTCATGTCAATTAATTACAGTCTGTGGCCTCCTGGCCATATTATTAGATGCACTGTGAGATTTCATGTAAAATTATAATTATCACGTGATGCTATACAGATGTATTGTTTTTAGTCGGATGAAACCGGTTTGCATTTGGTTACGCTTCTGTATCCATTGGTTAACATTATAATGCTATACCTTAAAAATAAACACAAAAAAGAAGTATATCAAAAATCTCCTGAATAAAAACCCATTACATGTATGTTTAAATATAGAAATATTGCCTATAAACTCGTGCAAAACACGTCATTATGAAAAAACTACAGTACGTCTCATAATTTGACTAATTATTATCATATACTAACATAATATACTAATGAAACTTTGAATAAGGGGTCGTCCACCGACTAGGTCAGAGATGGGCAAACTTTTCTGGTCGAGGGCCAAAAATCGAAGAAAAAAAATTTTGGTGGGCTAAATAAAAACATCTAAAATAAAAAAAAATACTATATGCAATTTTCAATGTAAATATTTAATGAGATGAATGAAATTGCGATTTCATTTTTAAAAGTTCCTTATATTAAGGTTCCAAGTGAGATGTACTTATTTTAAGGAACAAGGGTAAACTACTTCTAGGTAACTACTTCTGAAATGATTTTTTCTCAGGTTTGTAGATGAAAACACTTGTTCACACATAAATAAAAGGAAGCAAACATAGACCTGATTTTCTAGGCATGAAATATTTGGGAAACTAGCTTTTGGTAATGATTTGTAAAACTCAATTTTTGGCATATTCAGAAACAATTGCTTCAGATGGCACCAATCTACGGCTATTCTATAAAGAACTTCTGCTCATTTCACCAATTGAAGCTGTCTGTGCTAGCCTCCATCAATTTATTATTTTGTAGAACAAAAATAGAGAAAGTTAAAAGGTCCGCAGTACTTAGTTAAAAAAGAAAGAAAAATAACTTTAAACGAAGTAGACAAGAAAATGGATGTATATTGTTTATATTCGCCACAGATCAGCAAGTTAAAATTCCATCCGCGGGCCGGATAAAACCTTCCGGCGGGCCACAGTTGGCCCGCGGGCCGT